CACAAAGCACCAGGTCAAATGTCAAAATAATGTGATTTTCTTCTTTGAGGTCTGTGTTTTAACATTTTAAAATTTCTATTGAGTATTAATTACCAAGCTTGACACCCAGACGTAGATATTTAAGTCACCTCAGTGTCTACTGTGTTTCTCAGATGTCAGATGTTTTAGAGTATTTTCTTTTAAAGTTCCCAAATATTTGTCTTTCATAAGTAAGAGGACTTCTTAATTGCTTGTTTGATATTGTTTATAATAGGCAAATGCATAGTTAATAGATATTCTTCAGTGAGCTTTCTGGTATTGTTTATTTTATTCTCCATTGTGATTATTTGTTATTAAACCTAACCTGCCACACATCCCAAGTTATGGATGGATATATGCAAGCTCCTTATGATTGGTTTTAATGTTTTCATTTGACCAAGGAAGGTGGTCCTGCCCATTTTCTGAAAATCACCTACTTCCTAAGAGTTCCTTTCTCTATGTTACATGTGACAAACATGTACATACTGTGTTCATAATTGTTTCTGTGATAAAACTACGTCAATTAAAAAGGTACTCGTATTTGCAATTTACATTTAGAATATTATACAGCATAATGAGCTGAAAATTTAACATATTGTTTTCTGACATGTATTGTTCAATTATATGGGATATTTCATTTAATCACATCAGGCATGTGTTATTTGTGTTATTCTATCTTTTTAAAATTTTTTTTCTTTTTTTTTTTTTTTTTTTATCCTCACCTGAGGATATTTTTCCATTTTTTTGTACAGATAGAGTGGAAGGGAGAGAGAGGAAGGGAGAGAGAGAGAGAAACATCAATGTGAAGGGACACATCGAGTGGCTGCCACCCACACGACCAACCAGGGCCGGGGACAAACTGCAACCGAAGTACGTGCCCTTAGCGGGAACCGAACCCGGGTCTCTCCAGACCGCAGGCCGACGCTCTAACCGCTGAGCCAAACTGGCCAGGGCTTAAAAATTTTTTTCTTTATTATAAAGAGAGAGGAAGTGAGAGGGAGAGAGAGAAACATCGATGAGAGAGAACTTTGATTGTCCACCTCCTGCATGCCCCCCACTGGGGATCGGGCCCACAATGTGCCCTGACCAGGAATCAAACCAGCGACCTCTTGGTGCATGGGTCGACGCTCAACCACTAAGCCACACCAGGCGGACTATTCTATCTTTTTTTTATAGATGATTTTTTAAACATCAAACCAATGATCCAAAGTTGCACAGCTGATGAGAAATAGGAATATGGCTTGAACCTATTTCTACATACCAGAGTATGTGCCTTCCACCGCCCAATCTAGAGAAAGAGAATAAATATAAAGAGGGACACTTACTGTTACGTAGAATGGAACTTGGCACTGAAATATTGTCATTTATTTCTCTGCATGCTCTCCCTAACCTGGTGTGCTTTGGAGCTCAAATTAGAGCTGTTTTTAGTGGTACCGGAAAAGCCAGTGCTTGAAAAATACTAAGCCTTGCTATTGACCCTGTGGTCACTGGCTTGGCACGGAGTGGGTGGCTTCCTTCCCATTCCCGTTTAAATTTTGGATTAGGTCAGTGTGCATCAGCAGACAATGATGATTTAGAGGGAACTTACTGCTTTCCCTTTTGAAATTGCACTCTAATGTTATTTTTATGCTTTGTGTAAGTAATTACTATGTGGTAACAATGAAATCATTTTCAGGATATTCTGTAAGTAGCTGAAAAGTTGGAAGGTATTGAAGATGTAGCATAAAAGTAAATAATACAAACTGTGAAGTTAGGGTTATTTTAGGCACACTAAAGAAATAAAGTATCCAAACTGATGCTCACTCCTTGGGGAGGAGTGATGACAGGGAGACCAGCTGAAGAGTAGGATTCTACTGATATTCCAAAAAGACTGCATTGTAACTCTATCAGTAATACCATGTTAATTTCAAGATGACATATCAATGAATACTTTTGAAAGTGTCAGTAATAAATTTATTAAGGATAAAGTTATAGACTATTTTATTTTGTTGTTTTTTTTTATCCTCACCCGAGGACATTTTTTGTTCAGATAGAGAGGGAGGGAGAGAGAGGAAGAGAGAGAGAGAGAAACATCGACGTGAAGGGACACATCGAGTGGCTGCCACCCGCACGACCAACCAGGGCCGGGGACAAACTGCAACCGAGGTACATGCCCTTAGCGGGAACCGAACCCGGGTCTCTCGGGACCGCAGGCCGACGCTCTAACCGCTGAGCCAAACCGGCCAGGGCTAGACTATTTTATTAAAAAGAAACAATACCATATTGAAAAAAAACTTCAGAAAAATGCAACTAACTCATTATTAGAAATAAAAGCAGCTGAGAAACTGATTAAATGATATGAATTTATATAAAAAATAATTTACTTATTTCTAATATCTGGATCATCAGTGTATGGAATTTAAAAAATTTTGCTGTAATATACATTTTTTAACTGCTATAAAGAATTTTATTTTTAAAATAATTTGTGTTACTTTTTTATTTTAACATAACTATAAATCAATGTACTTTGCTCTTGTATGGATTTTATTTAAAAATTCAGACTAACAAACCTCAGAGGAGGGGGGTGGGGAGAGGGAAGAGATAAATCAAAGAACTTATATGCAGATGTGCATAACCAGTGGGCATAGGCACCAGTGCTGTTGGGGGATGGTGGGAGGGTGTCAATGGGGGAAAAGGAGAAACATCTGTAACAAAAATAAATTACTTAATAGCCCTGGCCGGTTTGGCTCAAGGTTGGAGCCTCGGCCTGCAGACCAGAGAGTCCCGGGTTCAGTTTCCGCTAGGGGCACGAACCAAAAAAAAAATTTTTTTAAATAATTAATTAATTAATAAAAAAATAAAAGAGATGAGCACATTTGGGATGGAATTCCTTCAGGGGCAGAGAGCAGTTATTAAAAATGCTCCTGTTAACAGTAAGGCTTTTTCTGTAAGTGGTGAGATAGTAAGCATTTTTAGGCCTCGCAGGCCACACAGGGTCTCTGTCTCATAATCTTCTCTGTTTTTGTTGGTTGTTGGCTTTTCCCATCCTTTAAAGTGTAAAATCCAGCCAGAGCTTGCAAGGAGCGCAAAAGCAGGCGCCGGGCCCGACGTGCCCGAGAGCTCTCGTTCCACAGCCCCTGGTCTACAGCAGTGAGGAAAGCTAATCTGTGTAATCGGGCAGCAAGAGGCCAGTGCACGTTCTGTCCGGTAGAGAAGCCATTTCTGATGCTAATCTAAGCCTGAACACACTGCACTGTGCCCGGGGCGTGCCGTCAGTGGTGGGAGCATGGGAAACCCTAGCTCTAGGACAGGGTCGGGGAGAAGGCAGAGAGGTGGTATCACAACACTGCAGCTTGGAAGTTCCAGGATGCAGACTTGTCCTGCACAGTTTCCTACAGAGCCTCAGGCGGGACGCGCTGTCCCGGGACAGAGTACGTGTCCCTCCCCTCGAGCGTGCTTCCTCTGTTCAGAGGTGCTTCGTGGGCATTTTCCCTGAGAAGGACAAAGTACCTTGTAAAGAGCTTCTCAACCTTCAGACTTGGTGATTTAGTGAATAACAGGGACATAATCGTACTCACCACGGAACAGATTACAAATAAGGACAATAATGAGGGGCCATGAGCAGTCCTCAGAGGATATGTAACAGAATTCACAAGGCTGGGCAATATCTAAAAAATTACCTACCAATAATTTCATTTTATTATTGTAATATTTACTGTGGTACATTTTCCAAAAACATCCTTATTCTCAGTCTAAGAAGTTTCTGTTGAGTTCTCATGAACCAGGTGCACTTACTGGGGTACTATAATTTATATTTTTAAGTCTCCTACTGTACACGTAGGTAAAATCACAAAAGTAGCAAAAACCAGGTACCTTGAAGTGACTGTTCTTTTCTCACCGTAGAATAACTTCCACTTCATCGAGCAGCAGAAGCCGTAGTAACAGACTTCTGGCTCGGATTCACCCTGTTGTGTCTCTACTTTTTCTATGCCAACACTCTCTCCATTAAAAAAAATTCTGGCCCTGGCCGGTTTGGCTCAGAGGTCAGAGCGTTGGCCTGCGGTCCAGAGAGACCTGGGTTCGGTTCCCGCTAAGGGCATGTACCTTGGCTGCAGTTTGTCCCCGGCCCTGGTTGGTTCGTGTGGGTGGCGGCCACTCGATGTGTCCCTTTCACATCGATGTTTCTCTCTCTTCCTCTCTCTCCTTCCCGCTCTATCTGAGTAAAAAATGGAAAAATGTCCTCGGGTGAGGATAAAAAAAAAAAAAAAAAAAAAAAAAAAAAAAAAATTCTGGCCCTGGCCGGTTTGGCTCAGAGGTCAGAGCGTTGGCCTGTGGACCAGAGAGACCAGGTTCAGTTCCCGCTAAGGCCACGTACCTCGGCTGCAGTCTGTCCCCAGCCCCAGATGGGGCCGTGTGGGTGGCAGCCAGTCGATGTGTCCCTTTCACGTCGATGTTTCTCTCTGTCTCTTCCTCCCTCTCTCCCTCTCGCTCTATCTGGAAATGAATGCAAAAATGTCCTCAGGTGCAGATTAAAAAAAAAAAAGTCGGGCTCTGGCTGGTGTTGCTCAGTGGTTAGAGCATTGGCCCAAGCACCAGTGTCACAGGTTCACTTCCTGGTCAAGGACATGTACCTGGGTTTCAGGTTCAATCCCTGGCCTGGGTCACGGCATGTGCAGGAGGCAACCAATCTCACATTGATATTTCTCTCCCTCCATCTCCCTCCCTTCATCCCTTCCATTCTCTCTAAAAATTAATGGAAAAATATCCTTGGATGAGGATTAACAACAACAACAAAAATTCTGGCAGGCTCATTTAAAGACACCTACCTAGGTTGGATTATTTGCATACTAGACCTAAGCCCCGTGCCTCAGTATTCATATCTATAGAAGTAGCTGCAGCTACTGGTTTTATTTGGTTGAACTGTTACAGTATTGATTTCATTTTATTTAATCAACTCAATCTAATCAGGATGCGATTTATCTTCATTTTGATTTTGGTTGTAGAGGTTGGCGATTTGAAGGAGCTGCAGACACTAGACATTTCTACCAATCGTTTGCTAGCTTTACCCGAGAGGCTTCACCTGTGCCTTTCTCTGCAGTACCTCACCGTGGACCGAAACCGTCTGTGGCGTGTGCCACGCCACCTCTGCCAGCTGCCCAGCCTCAATGAGCTCTCCATGGCTGGAAACCGCCTTGCATTCTTGCCTCTTGGTAAGTGATGGTGTATCTGTGAGGAAGCAAAGAAGCCAGAGCATAGGATGGAAAGCCTTCGGTTCCTTGACTAGGAGGCTCAGTTAGCTTTCTTCATTGTGTTTATCTTGAAGATTGCCTCTCTAAATCCATCTTTGCAGTGAGGAACGCATCATACCCAGGTGACAAAGTTTATTTCAGTTCAGGATTTCAGGTTTTAAAAAAGAAATCTGTGCTAAAAATTTGATTAGGGACAAAATGATATGAGATGAAGGAATTGGAATATGTGTATATATACAGACATGTATTATATGTATTTTATTCATATATATGCAATTGACAGGGATTATAGAGCAACATGAAAGAATAGTACTGGTACCAGTACACCTGCTTGCTGTGGTCTTCTATGTAGAAACATTCGTATCAGGTATTCGAATCATTAGCTTTGCTAGGTAGCCAGACTACAACATTTTAAAGACCTTGAAGTTGGCTAAACTGCTTGCTCAGCTAGAAATGTCGCTCTGGCTAATAAATAACATATTACCCACTGTAGATTTCTATAGCTGGCCCATTCTGCCATAATATATGTGAACGGACATAGGCCTTTAACAAAACAACACATCTATTTTCACTGAAAATTGAATTATTTTAACTTGTGAGAAACAGAAGTGTCACTTTAAAAAAAATTTTTAAAGATGAAGCCCCACAGAACCCTAAACTGTCACAATACGCATTGTCTGATTTTACTCATAAACACATTTTTTATAATGAATAATTTATCTCTGAGGGTAGTGAATAATTTACTAGTCCCTGAAAGGAAATAGTTTCCCAATACTACAGCACAATATTATTTTCAATTAAAAATAACTTGGAGACATGAAAATCAATTTGAGTAATGACAAATAATTACCTAATTTAAGAAGATTACTTTTCTGTAAATATAATTAAATTCTATACTTATGAAATTAACAAAATAAAATAAACCATTTCAGAAGGAAGCTACATTTCAAAGAAAATCGAGCTTCGCCCTGGCCAGTTTAGCTCAGCGGTTAGAGCGTCGGCCCACGGACCAGGGAGTCCTGGGTTCAGTTTCCGCTAAGGGCACGTACCTCGGTTATGGTTCATCCCCGGCCCCGGTTGGGTTTGTGCGGGAAGCAACCAATCGATGTGTCTCTCTCACGTCGATGTTTCTCTCTCTCTCTTCCTTCCTCCCTCCCTCCCACTCTATCTGAAGATAAATGGCAAAAATATCCTCGGGTGAGGATTAAAAAAAAAAAGAAAATAGAGCTTCTTTTCAAGCGAGAAAAACACCATATATAAAAGGTTATATATCTGCTGCATAAACCACTGGTTACGGAACAGCCCCCGGGACAGGCACCAGGTTACAGATGCAAAGACCCAGGCTCCATCTAGCATGGGCCTCCGTGTCCTCCACATGCTTCATCTGACCCTTCCGATAGTTCTCAGCATGAGCCAGCTTCGGTTCACAGAGAGGAGGCCAGGAAAGGCCTGCAGTGCACAGACTTCATAGACGGACAGCTACAGGCTTAATTATTTTCTTCCTCATGTTAAAAAAAAAGGACGAGAAGACGGTTAATGTTGCTGCGCACTTGAATTTCCTCATCGGCACAGATGACCCCGTCTCTCATCCCCTGCAGCATTGTGTGGGCAGCCTCCCTGGCAGCTCTGCGTTGTCTCATCCATTTCCTTCAGATTCATTCACTGCTTTTCCGCAGAGAGCGGAACTGTTCTTGGAAACGTAGCAAGTAGGGCTGCTCTGGACAGTAGTCGGAGATACCGCGTGTAGACACACACGTGACTGAAGCCTGCAAATCATGTGTAACCAGGATCCCACGGGCATAACACAGCAACTTGAAAGCTTATGCAAGGGGTGCTGTAATACCTCTGCCTGTGACTGGAGGTAGGCATTTAATTTTGGGGTCTACATACTGAATTCTGTTTCTTGCCAAAGAAGTTTGACTTAGGAGAAAAGCAGTGTTTTTTAGGGCTTCATAGATGAATGTCAGACTATAGCCTCTTCAAAAAACCAGTATAGAAGCTATACGTAAGGATGAGTTAAATCGCTTGTAATATCATCATTAACATTCTTTTCAAAAGAAGCATCACTGCCCTGGCCTGTTTGGCTCAGTGGTTAGAGCGTCGGCCTGCGGTCCGGAGAGACCCGGGTTCGGTTCCCGCTAAGGGCATGTACCTCGGTTGCAGTTTGTCCCCGGCCCTGGTTGGTTGTGCGGGTGGCAGCCACTCGATGTGTCCCTTTCACATCGATGTTTCTCTCTCTCTCTCTTCCTCTCTCTCCCTCCCACTCTATCTGAACAAAAAATGGAAAAATGTCCTCGGGTGAGGATAAAAAAAAAAAAAAAAAAGAAGCATCACTAAGAAAGGATACCCCCATTTGAGTGACAGATTAATCTGCAAACAAGCTTAATTCACTGTGGTGACTATCACTGAGAAGAAAAGGGCAATTAACCCCTTGAGCTTAGCGCTCTGCGATTTAATAGAGGCCTTGAAATGTGTTTGTTGTTGATTCAATATGGCTCTTTACACTAAGTAGCTCACAAAGTTGTGACTCCCATCTGGGCTTCTGAAAGTGTAAGAAAATACAAAGAAAAGGTTTTTTTCCTCTAAGGCCTTTTCACCAGGTGTTCCTGGTTTCTCTTGCATAATTAATAAACCTGATTATTCAGTAATGCCTACAGCTACTGAGTGTTGAATAATAGATACAATACTGTGAGGTTTTCCATGCACATCGGCTCTGGAAGAGCATTCTTTGCTTAGCCCCCAGGAAGTGCTATGTCAGCTAAACTCATTGTCAATAACAATGTCGTAGTTTAAGAAAACAAAAGTTGTGCCCATGTTAACTGGGGACATTTTTGAGTGTTAAGTTAGAAAACTGTGAATGATTTCTTACCCAAGAACTTTTGGCAAATGACATTGAGATTTCTAGAATATCCTGTATAAACTACCGTGTAGTAAACCCAAAAGTTAGCAGAGAATACCTTTCTGGTAATGGAAAAGTATTTGTGTTTTGCCCTGGCCAGTTTGGCTCAGCAGTAGAGCATCGACCCGAGGACAGTGAGTCACGGGTTCGATTCCGGCCCAGGGCACCTACCTCTGTTGCATTTCGTCCCCAGCCCTGGTCGGGGTCATGCGGGAGGTATCCACTCGATGTGTCCCTCTCATGTCGATGTTTCTCTCTCTCTCCTTCCCACTCTATCTAAAGACAAATAGAAAAATATCCTCAGGTGAGGATTAAAAAAATAAAAAAGGAAATTATTTGGGTTTCTAGACCAGCCCCAGAGTTGTTCCCTGGAGTGTCGCTAGCGAAGTGCTTATTTCTCAGGAAGAGGTCGTTACTCTCTGTGCCGGAGACGTGGGCTGTGAGGGATACGACAGCTCCTTGACTCCTATGGCTTGTTCTCTGTGGCTTGGTGAGGATGCAAAACTGTCCCTTTCATCACATAACAGGAGATCACTCCAGTTTTTTGGAGTAGTTGTAGTTGGTTTGTCTTTGTAGGAATTGGGTACCTTGTATGGAAAAACATATAGTTTATACTAAGTAGCAGTGTGGTTTTAGAAACTAGCATCTAGGCATTTTAGAACCCATGCTAAAATCCCTTCACTTACTGCAATAGCATATAAGACACAAATCTGTTAGCTGTATTTGTTTGTATTGCTTCTTATTCCTATTTTCTCTCTATCTTCTTAGAAAGTCAGGAAAAAAGAATTGCTGTTCACTATTTTTGAAGAAAATATCAAAGTCTACACAGTGGGATCTATTCGAACTTCAAACCAATATAGCAACCACATGGAAACCAGTTAATAGTTTCATAATCTCAGACTTAGAGATAAATGCAAACTGTACTTAGTAAGACCTGAATATATTTTGCCTACAGTTTGAAGAACTCCTGCCTTGAGGTCATTGTTTAACGGGAGTAGTTTGCAAAGTTTGTGGTTTAAATAAGTTTCAGTGCTGAAAAGTTTTTTCTAGTACAGACCGAAGTCCCATTGATTGGAATTGCTTCTGTGTTTGAGTAAAAGGTATGATGATCGCCTTCCAAAGGGAGACCCAGAGAGGCCAGAAATTGTGTTCTGTCTCGGGTTCTGTAGGAACTGTTGGGCAGGCTGTAATCAATGGCATGAAGAAAGAAATGAAAAGAAGGGCTTGAAACAAGGTTCTAAAGTGACTGGAAACAAAGGGGGAAATGGGAGAGAATTATTCCATTAATTACAGTCCACACAGACCTTGTTTCAGGAGTGAGGCTATAACTCTGGAATGTTTATTTCTTTAAGAAAATGGATGTTCAGAGCTCCTTTTGAGCTCTTTTTGCAAGTATTCATAACAAATTCTTTTCATCTTGGTGCTGCTTACTCATCTGACCCTTCCCTACTGTAAACCTTGCTGATAACCTCGGCTTTGTTTTTCTTCCATCACATCAGGCCTTTGCTTTCGCCTTCAGTTTTCTTAGGGAGTTAATAGGATTATTTAATGTGGCTTCTGCAGCATGAGTCAGACATTTACTTTAAATAATAAATCAATTACTTGTAATGATCAATTATTATATTATATTAACTAAGCTAATGTGCAAGGAGAAAAGTTCACCAAGAGTAGGTGAGCCTTAAATGGACAGATGTATATTTTTCTCGAAGTTTTGGAGTAGGATTTGGGGCTAGGGAGTGATTAATAAGAAAAGTTAACCCTGTTTTCTCAAATACCAATTTAAAAAAGAAGAGAGGCCTGTTGCTCGTTCTTTAACAGGTACAGGTGTGAATCTTAGAAAAATAAGGGGTACAAGGGCTAGAACCTTGAGCAAAATCTTTGCCAGACAAGTTTTTGTTTGACTTGGTTCTGGAACTTATAGAGTTATTGAAACAGCGATGAGAATGTGCAGTACTAGTAAAGTCTGGGAGACATTGCCGGCTGAATTTAAAGCAAGAATCTGGAGTTTCTATCAGTCATAGTTCTCAGTCAAGTTCTTCAGACTTCTGCGGGGGAGGAAACC